TGATGATGATGATGATGATGATGATGATGAGGATGAGGATGAGGATGAGGATGAGGATGAGGATGAGGATGAGGATGAGGGTGAGGGTGAGGGTGAGGATGAGGATGAGGATGAGGATGAGGATGAGGATGAGGATGAGGATGAGGATGAGGATGATGATGATGATGATGAGGAGGAGGAGGAGGAGGAGGAGGAGGAGGAGGAGGACGAGGAGAGGATCTCCCCATCTTCCCTTCTCCCCCGTCCTACCTATGGCAGTGGTGATGGACAACTGACCCATCAGGATGGGCTGGTTCCCCGCCAGGGTCCGCTCCTTCCTGGCGGCTGCCTCGGCCGCAGCGCGACGGCTCCGCTCCGCCCCGCCCGCGGCACCACCCGCGCGGGAGGGCAGCGAGGGCAGCGGCCTGGGCGTTGGCCGCGAGGGCCTCCGCCTGTCCCGCGACTCGGTCCCCGTAGCGTCCGAGAAGGATTTAGGCCTCCTAGATGGGGTCGGAGAAGGTGGGGTCGGAGGATCGCGCCGCATCGCCGATGCATCGCCGATGCGGCTCGATGTGGGGCCCAACTTTTCCCACGCCCACGTCGCCGATGCATTCCCTGACGTCGCCAGTGCATCGCCGATGCAGCGACAATGCACCGGCGATGCATCGGCGATGCATCGGCGATGCGGCGAGATCCCCCGACCCCATCTATTCCCACCCCATCCAGGAGGCCTCGAAAGGAAGAGTCCACAGAGGCGGAGGACATCGAGTCGGTGTCCCCCGCGTCCGAATACTCGGAGTTCGGAGAGCCGCGCGCAGAGGACTCGGGCTCGGGGGAGCCGTGCGCCGAGGACTCGGGCTCGGAGCAGGAGGCCGCCAGGGCCCTCGCGGAGGCGGGCAGCGGCGGCACCGACGCCGACGACGGGCACCCGGGTCAGAGGGGGGCGGCCCCACGCGTGGCGACGAGGGCTTTGGGCCCTCGCAGCCACGAGGCAGCTCCTCCAGAGGACGTCGCAGCAGCCCAGGCACAACCACTGCCGCGCAGCCCCAGGCCCTGGGCCGGGCACGAGGCAGATCCGGAGCAGGCCCCCGCGGCAGCCCAGATGCTGCCGCCAGCAGCAGCGGCGGCCAGCACCGCACGGCCTGGGCCTCCGAGCCTGGCGGCCTTCCCGTCGGGCTTCCGGCCGCCCCCTGGGCTCGGGCCGCCGCCGGGGCTGCAGCTGCAGAGCCCCCCCCGCCGCCCGGACCTCGCCGCGCCCGGGCGCCAGGGCGCCGGGGAGCGCGCGCCCGCCCCGCCGCACGAGCGCAGCGTGCCGTTGCCGCCCCGCCTCGCACGGCAGGCCTCGCCGGGCGGCGGTCGCCCCACGAGCGCCGGGCGCCGTCGGTTCCAGTAGAGGTCCTCTGCGCGGCAAACCTCGCCAGGCGGCAACCGCCGCCGCAGGAGCGCCGCGTGCAGCACGCGCGCCGCCGCGCGCGGCAGGCCTCGCTGGGCGACAGCCGCCCCCATGAGCGCAAGGCGCCGTCGGTTCAGGTGGCGCTCCTCGGCGGCGCGCCCATGGGGGCGGGCCTTCCCAGAAGGCTCAGAAGGCCCCCGGCTGTCGGGGAAGTTTTTCCGGCCGTCAACGAAGCCGAGGGCTTGCTGACTTTTTGGTTCTAGCGGTCTGGGAAAGCGGGGGCGTGCTATGGAGAAGAGCTAGCGGGCGCGCGCCGGCTGCGGGCTGGGTGCTTGATTGACTTGCTGTCGCTCCTCAGCCACGGCGGCCCCAGTTGGGGGGCCACAGTTGGGGGCCACAGTTGACGGGGGGGTGGGAGGAGGAGCTGGGGGAGCGGATGTTCTTGCAGGGCGCTGTCCCGCTGTTTGAGGCTGCGAGTGGGGCACATTTGGCTCAGGGGCCGCTGCTTATGCCTCCTCCTGCTCTGAGGTTCTTCCATGCGCTAGCAATGTTGGACGCGTGATGTCTGGCAGCCCTTGAGGGCCAGAGTGTATTCGCGAGGTCTCCTGTTAGTCCGCATACAGGCGCCGTCTCGCGGGGGTTGGATATACAGGGCATGACATTGATTGCCTGTCTCAAGCTTATTCGGTCATGCACAGCATGTCTTACACACACGTGTTGGTGGTGGATTCAATTAAAGGATGGCGTGGCAACCATAATCTCAACTTGGGCTGGATGTGTCGTGAGCAAGAACGCGCGAGAGATACTCACCTTGCTGCAAAGTAGCACAGCAGTGGTACCAGCGAAACCGACAGCCGCGTACCAGGGTATCCGACTGTCAGAATCGAATGTTTGTGGTGATGCTGTTACGTGGTCAGGGGGAGGCACGGGCACACACAGACACTCACAGACACGCACACGCATACGCACACACAGACACACAAAGACACACACAGACACACACAGACACACACGCACACACACACACACGGACACACAGACACACACAGACACGCACAGACACACACACACGCACACACACACACCCTGTTTGGCGATCGCAGCCTCGCGCGTACAGACAAGGCGGAACAAATCGAGCACACGGTGCAGAGTTGTTATCGCGCGCGGCCGGGCTCTCAGACGCGGGACCGCATTGGATCGACCGCACATGACCACCCGGGCAGGGTAGGGCGTGAGAAAATTGAGGCAGCGTCCGAAGACCGACACGGCGGTGCTGACGAACGGCACCGACGGGGTGCGGAGAGCGCGCCTGGGTGCTGGGCTGCCGGGCTGCGGGGCGAGCGGCCCGCATACATCCAAACACACGCACGCGCACACACGCACACACACAGGCACAGGCACAGGCACGCACACACACACACACACATACACACACACACACGCACGCACACACACGCACCCACACACACACGCACGCACGCACGCACACACAAACACACTTACTTCTTCACCAGCGATGAGGGCGGAACGGTCGCGAAGCACAAAGCAGGTGCGCGCTTAGGCCACTTATCAGTAGGCGTACCATGTGAAAGTGGCAGTCCCGTGCAGGAAACAACTGCGAGGTGGGCATATGCACGTGGATGATGTCGGAGACTGGCCATGCAGGTGCAGCACGCATACACTTAAATTGGTTCCCCCGTCGGCCGTGTTGCGTCTTCGTAGCGAGTGCGAGAATGGGTCTCCGACCGGCACAAACATACGAACACACACACACACACAACCGCGCGCACACACACAAACACACACACACACACGAAGCACGCAAGTACACATCTACACGCGCAATCTCGCACAATCACATACACAATCACATGCAGGGTCACATACCCAATTGCGCACGCGCGTGTGCATCCTCTACTTTCTGGGGCCGCACGGCTGGGCAGCGCGAGCTGCTTGCTGTCGCGCGAACTTGCCATGCAAGTGCCAGCCCGATCGCTTGGTGACGTACGAGCGTACGCCATGGCAGCCATGACGGATGTTTTGCAAGCCACACCCTTGCTCCTCGTCGTTCAACCCTCCTTCCTTGCAAAACGGTACCATGGCCCAGCTCTTATCTGCAGAAAAGAGGGACCGCCCTTCACGCATGCGTGAGAGTGGGCGAGCAGCATGCAGAGCGAGACTAATCGTTTCGAACTTGCCTGTCGAATTAGCACGGTCAGCTTGACTTCAGTGATTACGGACGGCCTGCGATGGCGAAGGGCATCTTCGCGAGTCGTCTTCGTACGTGTGCCTGCTGTTCCTTCGCAGTCTCGTACCCTCTAGTTCGACTTTGGAGCTGTTTGCGTTGGTCCTTTCTGCACTTCGGCTGCATCTCTTGGGAGCTTGTACTATACATTATACGCCTGCTTAGGCGACGCTCGAGCTAGGCCGTCTCGGTGAGGATAACTTGACACATTCGCGCAGCGTTCCTTCGGAGACGACGACGACCACCATCACCACCACAGGAATCAACCATCGAAGCCTGTGCGGATCTTTGCCTCTGTGTACCTTTGGTATGCTTCTTGGGGTGATCTTGGAGCCATCTTGGGGCAATGTTAGAAGCCTAGGATTTGGGTTTTGAGCGGTTCGGAGCGCACTTGGAGTCGTCCTGGGGCAGTCTCGAAGGCTCTTGGAGTCTCTTGGAGACATGTTGGAAACTATCCTGAACCATGTTGGGCTATCTTGAGCGGTATTGGAGACCGTCTTGGGTTTTCTGGGGCCGTCTTGGAGCCATCTTAAGCCACCTTGGACGCTCCACCCCCTCGCGGAACGCCTCCTCCAGACCCAGGGGGAGGGGTTTGGGTGAGCCCGCTCCCTCCCCGAAGGAGAAAAGGGGGGTTAGCAGAACAAGCTCGTTAGACCACTCACGCCAGGAGGGGCGGAGGGTTGAAACAAGTCGCACCTCGTCCTCCAATGCGTCGAGGTCGCACTTCCCGCTATCAAGGCCCCGCCGCCCCAGCTCCGCAGCGGAGGCGTGGGGGAGAGTCCGAGCAGCGCGAGCCCGCGGACGAGATCGATTCCTGCCGCCGACAACGGGGCAGGGCCCTGGAGGGAGTACCTCCACAAGAGACCCCAGAGTTGCGACGATGTCTCGGGCGAAACGTGCTGTGAGGAAGTCTCAGGCGAAACGGGCCGGACCACCTCGAGCGCGGCGCCTCAGAGCTCCGAGTGGCGGGGGCCTCCTGGGGCCTTCTGGGACCTCCTGGTGACCTCCTGGGGCTTCCTCCTGGGCCTCCTGTGGCCTCCTGGACCCCACCTGGGGCTTCCTGAAGCGAGGGGGTCTCCGACGGGGCCGTGGCGGACCCCACCCCGCCGGCGCGACGGGACGGGCGCCTGCCACGCAGCAGCCGAGCAGCTCGGCCGCTCTCGGCCGCCTGACGGAGACCGCCCGAGGCAGTCCGCCGCGAGGGCCTCGCGCCCCCCCGGGAACTCCCCGGGCCGGCCCGGCCGCCCCGCAGGCCGCGCAGCGCGTGGAAGTTCCCAGGAGGGTGTCCGACGAGCTCCGGGAGGAGAGGAAACACAGACACAATGGATCGCTGATTCCCAGGAGTATAGTTTTTTTTTGTTGTGTATGTATGTATGTATGTATGTATGTATGTATGTATGTATGTATCTATGTATCTATGTATATATGTATCTATGTATGTATGCATGTATGTATGTATGTATGTATGCGTGCATGCATGCATGCATGCATGCATGCATGTATGTATGTATGTATGTATGTATGTATGTATGTATGTATGTATGTATGTATGTACATATGTATGTATGTATGTATGTATGTATGTATGTATGTATATTTGTATGTATGTGTGTATGTGTGTATGTATGTATGTATGTATGTATGTATGTATGTATGTATGTATGTATGTGTGTATGTATGTATGTATGTATGTATGCATGCATGCATGTATGTATGTATGTATGTATGTATGTGTGTATGTATGTATGTATGTATGTAGGTAGGTAGGTATGTATGTATGTATGTATGTATATGTTCATATATATATATACATATATATATATACATATATATATACATACATATATATATATATATATATATTACATATATATATATATATATATATATATTCCTCTTCCCATATTTTACAAGCCCGGGGGGGGGGAAACCCATCCCCCCCCCAAACTGGACCCCCGGGATCGGGGTTCTCGGGCTCCCTTGGACGTCCTTGGAAAAAGTCACCCGGCTTTCCGGGTCTCCACAAACGCCTTGCCAGCAGACCCAGAGCGATCCGAGGGGTCATCGGAAAGGCTCAAGGGCGGCCCCAGGCAGCACAAGAGCGCTCCAAGAGGGACTCCAATTGCGTCAGGACGGCCCAAAAGACCCCCAAGGCACCCCAAAAAGCTTTCCAAGGGGCCTTCAAAGCACGGAAATCGTCCCATTCCCTTCGAAAAACTTACAATTTTAGCATATTCGCCTTTCGGATTTCATCAGCTTTCAAGATGGTTTCAAAGCCCCCGAGATCGCCTCCAGACGCCCCAAAAGGCCCGCAAAAAAGCTTCAAGACGGCCGAGCCGGGCCCCACGAGAGCCCCAAGACAGCCCAAGACAGCCCATAATGGAACCAAGAGGCCTCCCAAGGGCTCCTAGCATAGACCCAAAAGGGCCATGGGAGGTCCCCGGAAGTGCCCAAGATTGGTCCATAGGGGGCTCCAGCGGGCCCAAGCGCCCCAAGACGGCCCAAGAAGGCCCAGGACGGCCCATGAAGGCGCCAAAGCGGCCCACGGGGGCCCCGAAACTACCCCCACGATGTTTCCGAATGCCAACATAAAGACCCCCAAGGCACCCCAAAAAAGCTTTCCAAGGAGCCTTCAAACCACAAAAATCTTCCCATTCCCTTTTGAAGAACTGACAATTTTAGCATATTCGCCTTTCGGATTTCATCAGCTTTCAAGACGGTTTCAAAGCCCCCGAGATCGCCTCCAGACGTCCCA